AATGGATAATTCTCCTGGCCTGAGCTAACCTAGCTGGGGTTCAATGGTCTAGGAGGACCTCTCAGCTGGGATAGCTGGGATATCTGGGGAATCTTCCTTTCCATGTGGTCTTTCAACCTTCAAAAGGCTAGCATGGGCCGGTACATGCAACAGTATAAAGACTCTCAGCAGAAAAATGACACACAAGTCTCAATGTGCCAGTACTTTCCAAGTCTCTGCACATTTTCTATTATTCCACTTATCAGAGTGAGTCACAGAGCCAAGACCAGAGTCAGTATGGAAAGGGACTCTCCAAGTGCATGCATATTGGATGGGAGGGATTATTACAGCCATTTTTGTAAATAATCTACTAAAGGAAGGAATAAGTCAAATATTTAAACCAAGACCTAATCTCTGAACGAGAATTTGTTGAAGTGCTTGGTCCCCAACTGAAATCTCTCTACTTGACTTGATATCACCAAGGCACATAGGAAATGGTCAGAAGATATCTATCTCAGGGACATCAAACCATCCCTGACCATGGAGCAGCTTCAATTCTACAACATAGGATAGACTTTAGCTATGAGATCCATTAAGGGGGTATTATTGTTTAAATTTTTCTCTCTCTAAGGAGAGCCTGGGCTCAGACTTACAAACAAACAGACAGCAGCAGAAACAAAACGAGTTGGTAGGATCCATTGTTCTCCTTATTACTTGAAGAGAAAGGTTTTCCATATGCAACAGTGAGGATGTTTAAGATCATACACAAGGAAGGAAGAGACATACACAGATTCTTTCCAGTCACAGATAATTACAGTAAGGACGTGGGCAAGGTGGGTAGCCCACAGTCACCTCACCAGCCACCATGTCCCTGTGGGTCCTGGTCAGGACAGCCCCTAACATTTGCAGGGCCCAAGGCAAGAATCCATAAGGAGGGTCCCACATCAGGTATGCCAATATTTAAAATTATAAATGAGCTAACAAAAAATTTAAAAATAAAATGAATTGCTTAATATTGCAACCATGTGAAACTATTACACATACAGCCCTCATCTGGCCGTTTATCTGTCAGATGGAACACAAAAAGATGCAAGAAAATGAACTCTAGACACCACGTGGGAACAACGCAGGAATGCAAGAATATGGTGGCGTTCCTGCTGAAAGGAAAGATTTTGACAAGCTAATTGGTTTATCCTTCCTCTGACCTTAAGCTTCTACAGCTGAGATCTTCCCACTGTCCAAGGGAGTGTCTGTGCCTTGCTCGCAGTGACACCGCCCACAAGCCTTTGTAGCCTTTAGACTCGGGCGTGTTCCATTTCAAGCACGTAGGGCAAGAGAGGTGGAGCATCATTTTACCTTGAGCCACGAGGTGTGTGTGTGTGTGTGTGTGTGTGTGTGTGTGTGTGTCACAAGAACGGATGTGGAGAGTTGCAGGTCATGTTGGGCCAGCCCGGACACCACCTCCCAAGAGACAGAGGTATCTTTGTGTCCTCTGACAAATTTCTTTTGTGTGTGTCTGTGAATGAGGTGTCCTCAAAAGCATAGGATCCAGGACCCAGTCCCCTCCTGCCTGGGTCTTAAAAAGTAGTACCAGTCTCGGAGCTTTGAAAGTTGGGATGTGTTCAGCAAGTGATACTTGCTGGCTACCATCAGGAGCAGCAGTTCCAGGAAGTCAACCTCCTGCGTGGTTTGTAGGTGTCAGGGCTGCCAGGAGAAACACTATTTACGCAGTACCCGATGGAAAGACACTTTACTCACGTGGAGAAGAGACAGAGCAAGAGGAGCTCCAACAGTGAGTGTCAGTCCCCCATGACCAGCAGCTACCATCCTGCTGACATCTAGAAGTCAAGGTTCAATATGGCACTGACCCTCCAGGAAAAAATAGTCATATGGTAACATGTCGGCTGGTTATCTTGGACCCCTGCCATCCTGCAAGACAACAACCCGACCTTAGCAGAACGGTCACCCACCGGGGATATGGCTTTTCTTTCTCTACCAGTAGTGCCTTTGCAAGCACAATTGAGACAGGGAAACAAGGGACCCCATGAAGGACTGCTTTTTTTGTCCCTCTTCCTGCTTCTATTTTTGCTAGGACCTACACCCCTGCCCTTTACACATGCCTTACAGTTCAGATAATATATGTCCTCCTTGTAAAGGTCAAGGAGTTAATGATTCCGTTGGAGGCTTCCAGCACGATAGATAACATCTAAGGAGTTACTGGGTGAGATCATCATGTGTGTTTTCCCAGACTCCAGACACCTTGACACCAAGACCCCAGCCTCCAGGGCATGATGAGCTAAAGCCTGAGCACTCCTCCTTGTTTTGACCAGTTCCCAAATGCCTGAGAGGACGCATACACCAGACCATTAACCTCCATCAAAACCCCAGACACCAAGATGAATGAAACTCATTCATCTTTCCTGAGTCTCCAAGACACTCTGCATCTGCTCTCTCTATGTGTTCAATAAACTCTGCTCTCACTTCCTCTCGGCTTTCATTTGATTTCTCTCTTGTGCGAAGCCAAGGACTCTCTTGCTGGTCCTGCAGGAACCCCTCTGGGTCCTCAGACCCAACCTGCCTGCATCACAAACATCCAAAGATTTACAGAATGCCTGATGAGACAGTATTTATACAACACTGCCTTGGGCCAAGGGATCCATTTTATAGCCAGTAATGTGAGTCAGTGGGCATAGGAGATCCACTGGCAATAGCAGATACGCAATCACGCAAAAGCAGCCAGACCAGGAGAACGGTGGGGTGTTAATAATTTTGCTAAGGGGACAACAAACTCAGGGTTGAGACTCTCCAGAATGCAGTATATCCACTGAACCCCAAATGCTGATAGATGATGGTATGTTCCCAACACCTAGAATATGTAGGAACCAAGGGATTGATGTAGTGCCCCTCTCTTCATGACTCCCAGTGATTAGTGGTTTCTCTGTGGTTCCCATCCCTGCAACATAGGGCTCTGCTGGATTAGACTGGATTTGGCTTTGCAGGAATCCTGGGGAAGACGGAAGCAGCAGAGATGCTTAGCACGGGTACACAGCGTGGGTTCCACTGAACCTGAAAGAACTACTAAATACAAGCCCCTTGAAGGAGGCTTTGTGACAGATTCAACACAATAAAGCCACAAACCTAGTGGAGGGAAGCACGGGGTGGACCGTACCCTGTACTACTTCAAGTCCTTTTGTCCCATGGCTTACCTCAGCCGCTGCTCAGCCCTCACTTTTCCTAGATTTACGTAAGCTCCAGGCCAGGGTTGTGCCTCAGCCTGCCTTTGAGAACTCTAGCTTCCTGACTGGGGCGGGGTGGGGGGGGGCGCTTCTCGGATCCTGAGGCGTGGAGGTCCTGCAAGAACATAACACACACGCAAGAGCAAACAAAAAGTGCGAGGAAACCTCTGTGGTCCACCGTTGGCCAATGAAGTGTTGTCCCCGTCATCTGTTGCTGTGTCACAAACCACCCAAGGTTTAATGGTATAAAACGACAACTATTTGGCTCTACTCACAAATTCTACAGGTCAGAAATTCAGACCAGGCCAAGCAGGGATGGATTGTCTCTGCTCTGTCTCTGTGATGCCTGAGATCTCAGCTGGGAAGACACAAATAGCAAGGAGGGACTCAAATCTAGAACCCTGCTGTCCAATAGAGATACTATGCAAGTCACATTCATAATTTTAAAAATTTTTTAGTTGCCATGTTAAGAAAGCAAAAAGCAACAGATGAAATGAACTGTAATAATATATTTTCTTTAACACAATATATCCAAAGTATTTTCATGTCAACATGTAACCAATGTAAAAATTATCCAGGTATTTTACGTGGCAGCGGGCATGTAATTAAATCTTTAAAACCTTGTGTGAGGTTTAGACTTTCAGAACACCCCAGTGTGGACTAGCCCCATTGGAAGTGCCAGTAACCACATGCGGCTAGTAGGTGCTGGATTGACCAGTGCAGATCTGGAGGCTTCCTCACGCCCACGTCTGGCACCTAGGCTGGGATGACCTGAGGGCTATGCTCATTTGGGACCATCGACCAGAACATTGCCTGTGGTTTGGGCTTCCTCACTGCATCGCAGCCTCAAGCTAGTCAGTCTTCTTATCTGGTGGCTCAGGACTCCAAGAGTGAGCGTTCCAGTGACCAAGGTTGAAGTCCATGACTTTTCACAACCTAGCCTCAGAGGTCACGTGGCATACACTATTGATTGAACCAGCCACAAGCCCCTCTCCATTTCTAGGGCAGAGAACATAGACTCCACCCCTGAGTGACAGGAGTGTCACAAAACCCGTGGCCATATTTTAAAAGTTCCGCAGGTATAAAAGCCAAAGATAAATGCTTCCCCTCTCTTCCCCCTGGCAAAATATTCTGAGATACATCCATGAGCCTCTTCAAAAAACTCCCAGCAGAGAGATGCTGAGGAATAATGAGACTCTGGATACACTGTTGCAAGTAGAGCCTACGGTATTTATTAATGGATTGGCTGTGGGGTGTGAAACAAAGCGAGGAGTCAAGGATCAGGAGTCCGCGTGAGGAATCACAGGACTGGTTTACAGGCTATTCCTGCACTTGAAGGTGCTTAGCTCCTGAGGAAAACACTCTGACCTAGAGGATGAAATTAACCTCCTGGAGGAAGGGTCCTTCATGAAATAGTCGCTCTCTGTGCCTGTATCCACTGGGCAGTTGGGAAAGCATGAAGTCTCCTTTACCGTCTACTTCCTGTTGCATTCCCAGCCTTGTTCCCTTTTTCAGAAATAGCATGCTGTCTATCGTATAGCCAAAGAACAGCACTCTGAACCTCTGCCCTGTGACTTCCTGATCCTCCTCTCTTATAAATACAAGGGCAGAGCTGGGATCCCACAGAGTCAGAGAGCAGAAAGCCAGGAGTCCTCAGACCAGCTCTGCCTGCTACAGGGAAGATGAAGTTCTTCCTGGCTGCCCTCCCCTTCCTCATTCTCGCTACTGTCCTTGGATCCCGGGTCCAGGTCCTTCATGGTGAGTTCAGGGAACCTTCCCACTGGTGACAAGGTCCGCGGTAACTCGCGAGCTGGGGAGGAAACGCAGAAGGACACCTTTGTCCTGCTGAGGTTGTTCCCTGTCTCAGACAGGGATGTGAATTCAGCACTTGTTTAAAAAGCAGAAGCAATAGGCTGTAGGCCTCTGTATTGTATACAAATCTCCCATTTGTATACAATATAGTCAATTGTATACAAATGACTGGTCCCCCTTGGGGAAATAACTCTCTCCCTTTTCAAGACCAGAATTATTTGATGCCTTCTCTTAGCTGACATAGGACTGTTACGTGCTAAATCAAAAGAACTATAGTAAGAATTCTACAATGTTAGTGTAAAACTATCATTTTGGAGAGGAAATGTAACAAGCCAGGAAAGTGCCTCACCCAAGTCCACCTAACCATTCTATTTATTTAACAAGTAAATATCTAGTACTTCTTACGTGCAGGCAGGCACTGTTCTAAGTGTCTTATGGACTTAATACATTAGATCCTCCTAACAACCTTGTGGGGTAGACTATCAGCAACTTGTATAGTTTTGCATATTATATTATTAGTCTCATTTTACAAATGAGAAAACTTAGACAACTTGCTCAAGATCATATAGCTAGACACTCGGACCCGTGGTTGCAGTTCAGGAACTCCAGCAGATGTGCATTCCCGATGGTGTGCATTCCTTGCATCGTCATTCCGATTCTGCTCTGGATCTACAAAAAATTCCTGGAGCCATACATGTATCCTCTGATTTCCCCCTTTGTTAGTCATAGGTGGCCTAGAAAAGCTCTTCGAGAATCCCACAATAAAAACAAAGGCAAGGTAGACTGTAAGGACGCAGACATAAATGGATTACCAACAAAAGGACCAACAGAAATCTCTGATAAAAAGAAAGACTAAAGTGATTGTTCCAAAGGATCTCATTGTTTTAAAAATGGACCTGATAATATGAAGCACCTTGCTTATAATTGTCTCTGACCTTTTTCTCTGAGACCAGAATTTGGGATAGATAGCTTAGGTACTTACCTGATACTAATCAGGAAATACATGGTATTTATATTTAAAATGTGTTTAGTTATATTTAATGATCTCATTCCTGAGTTCCTGTTTCATTAAAGTAGCTTCCATGTCTATTATCGTAGTTATGAATAAAAAGAAGGTTTGTGCCAATGGACACTGCTACTAAACGAGCGCTCTAAACTCCTTGGGCCTCTAGCTTCTTTCAGGCTCTTTGAATTTGAGCTGAGTACAATGTTACCGTGAAACAGTGCGGTGAGACTGTACGGTGAAAGGAAAAGGGGTTTGGGGAGATAATGAGGACTTGAAACCTAAAAATGTGATTACTGTCTGATACAACGGAGCAGCCTACTTCTGAGCAGTAATTCCTGCTTAGTGCTCTGAGGAAAATAGAAAAGACAGGGAAATCGGGGAAACGCCTTTGAAAAATGGAATACCTTTTACAGAAATATCTAATGTATATTATAAAATTCTAATCCTTGTTGCATTTCTTCTGTTCTTACAAAGTATATTAAATATTCCATTTCGGAAAAAAAAAAGATCATATAGCTATTAAGTGGTGGAATGAGGGTAGGAGCTGGTTAGGAAGCTGCAATGGAAAGGCAAAGCCACTTAAGATTTTATTTTGCAAGCCGCACACACATCATAGCAAGCATATCAAGTATAAACACATGCCTTCTTAAATAGAATTTATGTGTAACTCTATAAGAAATGATCTAAAAATACAGTTGCCTTTGCCTAATTAGCATAATGCAGGTCCGCAATCCCTTATCCAAAACTTTGGGGCTAGATGTGTTTTGGAAGGCAGAAGTATTCAGTTTTTAAAAAGGTAATGCAATATGATCCAGCAGTTCCTCTCTGGATATATACTCAGAAGAACGGAAAGCAGGTACATGAAGAGATATGTGCACACCCATGCTAATCATAGCGTTATTCATAACAGCCAAAAGGTGAGAGCAACCCAAGTGTCCATTAACAAATGAATAGAGTTCTTTTATGGGGCATATACATACGATATATTATTCAGCCTTAAAAAGGAAGGAAATTCTGACACGTGCTACAAAACGGATGAACATTGAAGACATTATGTTAGGTGAGGTAAACCAGTAACAAAAGGACAAATTCTGCATGGTTCCACTCCGATGAGGCACTTAAAGTAGTCGAATTCAGAAAGAAGAATGGTGGTGGCTTGGGGGTTGGGGGAAGGGAGAACGGGAGTTATTGCTTAACAGGTACAGAGTTTCAGTTTTGCAAGATGAAAACGTTCCGTGGATGGATTGTGGTGATGGTTGCACAATAGGTGAATGTGCTTCGTCCTACTGAGCCGTACGCTTTTTAAACATGCTCACAATTGTGTTTATTATGTATATTTTACGTTTTCAAGAAAATAAATGACATTTTTTAAAAGGTAACACATACTTGGACATTACTTAACTCACTGGAAGAGTCTGAGAAGTATACTTCAATCAAACAGGGTAGTATTTCGGCAGCAACTACAAATAATCATACTACTGGGGTAAATAATGATTGTGAATAGCCTCACTTCACTTTGGGTGACCTTGTACCACCAGATCAGTTAACGAAACATTCTTCGGTTTCCTGAGCCGTTGTGGATTCCAGAAATGTATGGAAAGTATTGTGGCATGTATCACATTATGTACCCATTCCACTGATTTATTCATATCGGATTTACAGTTTGCTTTTTGTATTTCAAAGTCAATCGGATGGTTTCACGTCTCAGACAGTTTCAAAATTCCCTGGAACATCCCAGGGCCTTGAGACGAGAAAAGGGGCCTGGAGGCAGATCTAGAACCCAGACCGGTGTCCAGTGGTCCAGCATCATCACCTCTCTACCAAGGGATGGGGCTGAGGCATGAGACCAGTGGAGACAGCGAGACAAGGCTGCCGTGGTGATTTCTCTCCCCTCCTTGTCTGTTTCTCCCAAACAGAACCCATGGTGGCGAAACTTCAGCATGAACCCTTAATACACATGGAAGGTAAAGGTATATGTTATATTATAGCATATGCTTAAAAGTAGCAGCTGCACAGATCTGTTCAGTGGCTTCAAAACACCTCATTTACAGGGCGGGGGTAGGGAACAGATGGGGAGGGTCCCGAAGGTGGCGAATGTCCCCAGGAAGATCGGGATGGGCCGTTAGAGGTCACCTCTATTCCGTCTCTCGAGTTGGGCTCACCTGGGGGCAGAGGTGCTCACTGATGCCTCCTGCTGGCACGAGACGCTCCCTCTTCTATCACAACTGGTCTTGGCCCTGTTGTAGCCTTGCCTGGGTGCCCTCAGACACAGAGCTCAGCCCCGAGGAGGGTGAAGCAAGTGCAGGCAGAGGAGAACATCCCTCTGGAATCCTGTGCCTTCTCACCCTTCCCCGGGACTTTGGAGGCAAGGGGGAAAGGATCTAGTCTTCCTTAAAAAGAGACCCAGTCCTTAAATGGCTCGTTCCCCTTGCAGCAGGCTTTCTCCGTCCCTCTGACTGCTGCCTAGACTACAAACGAAAAATTCGATGTGCAAACATGAAAGATTTTTTTGAAACAAGCAGTGGGTGCTCCCAGCCAGGTGTCATGTAAGTGTCGTATCTGGGGAGGGGTGTCTAGGAAAAGTCCCACCTTCTGGATCCTGCCAGGTCCTGGGAGGCTTGTGTCCTCATTAGGATCCTGCAGGGCATCAGGTAAGAGATGTTCCCAGTGAAGAGGGACACCGGGGACAGATGGAGAGAGAAGAAAGGCTGCTTGAGGAAACACACATGAGTCACTTAGGCAGTCTCAGAGGCTAAGTGAGGCAGGGTCTCAGAGAGGAGGTGCCCTGAGTCCCTGCAGCAAAGAAGGAAAAGAACAGGCTGGTCCAAGTGGGGGATCCCAGGGCCGGGGAGGATGGGGCTCCCCATCCCCATTTTCTGAACACCCCTTAGTTTGTAATCTTTCTCTGCCTTGCTCCCCAGCTTCCTCACCAAGAAGGAGAGGCTTGTCTGTGCTGACCCCCTTGATTTGGAAGTTCAGAATTGCATGAGGTCCCTGAGGAAGAACCTAATAATGCAGATGTTGCTTGAGAAGAAGGAATACTAGGGGCCACTCACCCCACCTCCAATTGGTTTGTCCCAACTCCCTCCTGGGATTTTCTTGGCCTGAATTATTTTTCAAAAAGCAACAACTACTGTTCTTTCTGTTCTGGTTATAAAAGCAATGCATTAATAAAGAGTATCCGATATAACTTTCCTTGAATTTCAAGAGGAAAAAGAAACTATAGGAACTGCTGAAATTTGGATTCTGTGGGTTTTTTTCCAAATGATGTGCCATAATAGAATTTTTTAAAAGCTAAAAACATTCAAACTCATTCAAACATAGATTGAATATGTGTCAAAATGTACTTAACCCATTCAATGAGGGAAAACTGAGTCAAAGATCATCTGAGGAACAGAGATTTATACAGTTAGTTGGGGATGGCATTCTGAAATGTTAAGTCAGAGAAAAACAGATTAATATCCTATAGGAAAATAAAACTGTAACACTGGGGATTATATTTTCTTTTTCTTTCTTTTCTTTTTTTTTTTTTTTTCATTTTTAGAGGGTGGGTAGAGAAGGAGGGAGAGGGAGAGAATCTTAAGCAGACTTCACACCCAGTACAGAGCCCGACACGGCACTCAATCTGACGACCCTGAGATCATGACCTGAGCCAAAATCAAGAGTCCAACACTTAACCAAGTGAGCCACCCAGGTGCCCCTGGTAATTATCTTTTCTACTGGACAAAAGTCATTTACATCTGTGCTAGATAAAAATTTACAAGTTAACATAATTTCACAAAGTCAGAGGCCCCATCAGTAGTAAGTAGACCACCACTGGAGAGGACATTCCCCTATAGGAACCCTGGGGTAGGCTTTGTGGACAATCTTCCAAATGACATTGGAGGACCTGCCTGCAGTCATCCTTCTGCCTTATTTCTACAGTTTGGATATTTTCTCTCAACAGACATAACTTCCCCTCTTTAAAGTTAAAGGACATTAAGAAAAACATTTAAAGTTGGACTGAACATGGGTGGTGAAATCAAGTCCTGCAAGCGGGGAGTCTGCTTGAGGTTCTCCCTCTCCCTCTGCCCCTCAACCCACTGAGTGCTCTCCCTCTCTCAAATAAAAAAATAAATCTTTTTTAAAAAAAATAAAATTGGAGTGAATATCAATTTTACATTCAGGGAACCTGAGTGGCTCAGTTGGTTAAGCGTCTGCCTTCAGCTCAGGTCATGATCCCAGGGTCCTGGGATCGAGTCCCTGCTCGGTGGGGAGTCTGCTTCTCCCTCTGCCTCTCCCCCAGCTCGTGCTCACTCTCTCTCTCTCAAAAAACAAAGTCTTTAAAAAAAAAAAAAAAAAACCTATCTTACTTTTTGGGTGATTTGCCATAAAGAGTTATAGGGAAAAAACTGATTGATAACCAAATATCCATCATAATAATAAACACTATTAGAAGAAGACACTTGAGACAATGATTAAAGCTGGGAATTATAACTCTAAAGGGATTAAATACACATTCACACTTTGTCTCATCTTATTCTCTCCACGAAGAATAATCTTTGGAGGTTTGCCTACAGTGTAGAAAAGCTCCTTTCACTTCATCATTTGGGAGTAGGGGGTAGACAGAAGATGACCAGGGAGTAAAAGGTAGGGCACAGATGTACACAGTTTAGCCAAGCATTCCAGGTAATTCTTATGCAGGTGGTCTTAGGAAGGACCTCACTTAGAGATACCATTTTAGGAGGTGTGGGTGAAAAATGTAGGCAGGCTAGCAGGTGGAACTGTGCCTTGGTAAATTTCATTCCTTCGGGGATTCCTCTCTTTTTTCCCAGCGGAAGTGGGAATCCCTAGTTCCCTGGTTGTGAACGCAGATTCCGAGGATGGGGGCACTGGCTCTGGTAGGTGAGAAGGAAGGAGGGGTGGGACTGGTCCGGCTTTCACTGAGGTTGTCGGAGAGCTTCATTTCTAGGGGGCGGAGGTGGTGGGACTTCTTTCTTTCCTTTGACCAGAAGTTGTCCTGGGTACCGCCCAGCTCCCTCTCTGGTCCATCATCCTTGTGGAAGACTCCCACACAGACAGACTTCTTACATAGAGAACTGTGCTTGTAGCTTTATCCTGGGGCAAACCCCACACCCGCCTGCCCTGAAGTGGGGACTGGCAAGTTCATAGCTTCTTCTCCCAACACCAATGACTTTGATCTTCGTGTTACCTAGGATGCTGCTGAGAAAGTATTTTTTCAATGATCTCTCCTTCACCTATATGAGGAAACAGGTTTTGCAGCCTCCTTATTTTGCCATCAAGCTGACCCATGGCCTTTATACAGAGATTTCTCTTCTTACGGTCAGCTGATGTCATCTTTTCTGATTTCCTCTGCTACTACAAATTTATTTTTGTTTTCATATTTTTCTAGTCATTTCCATGGGATTTGGGGAGGTAAAAGAGGCAAATACAGATGCTCAGGCTTCTGGCTTATAATTTGACCCATTTATGATCTCTCCTGTTGCTC